GAAGATAGATTATAATGAAAGTGAGGTCTGAGGGAAGTTCTGTTTTAGCACTTGACCATCACAGGTGCCCCCAACATGAGTGACTTAGTGAGTGACTATGAGTGACATGAGTGACTATCTATGTGTACCCTGGCCATGCCCTCTCCCAAGGTCAAACACAACCTTGATACCGTCCTCAATGAAATCTAGTTTGACACCCCTGAATTAGGTTGTCTCTTCTCCCTCAAATGGTGCATATTCTTTTCTTCTGCACTCGTTTTAAGGGACATTAGTACGGTGAGGATATATCGGATAATTGCATCCCCCGGAGATAAAGCAGACTATGCTTCATTTAAGCTCCCACGTGGTTTAAGATGCTACCAAGAACTTTTGGTATTTTTGCTGAAAAGATTAAAATGACCGTGGGGTCCTCGGTGGTCTCCGAGCTTAGTGGTTTTCTTGCAGACTGGTGCACTGATGATGTTACCTAGATGGGTGATGAAATGCTTGCAAGAAAACCACCAAGCTCAGAGAGCAGCAAGGACCCCACTGTTGAACCCTGAGCTATTCTATCAAAATGGTTATTGGTTTTCTTTTCTGGTAGATCGGGGGCCAATTAAGGCAAATCCACCGTTTCCAAACCTTCAGAAATGACAAGGAGTGTAAATCTACAGTCTTTCCAAATGGCCCTAAATTTCGTGCTGCTAGCCAGCCAAATCTCCAGCCAAAACATGGGGAAGAAAAATACATTTTAAAAAACCCCAAACAGCCCAATAATCTAGACATTTTCAGATTGACTCCCCGCTTAAGGGAAGGAGAAAACTGCCAAAGGCTTGATAATTTCTCCTCTGCTGGGCGAAGGATGCAATTGTGGATATTCATATTCCAAGAGACCTTGCAAAAGGTTTCAACAGGTTAGAACGTATCTGCTTGAACGTTTATAAAACTACCACAGAGAAGTTTTATCTTTAGAATGTTAGCAGCTTTAAGATGTCTGGACTTCAACTCCCAGAATTCCACAGCCAGCCCTGGATGGTTGAGACTGGGGAATTCTGGGAGTTGAAGTCCAATCATTTTAAAGTTGCTAAGGTTGAAAACACTGGTCAAGAAGTTATACAAGACTCTCTCTGAACTTGGGGGGGGGGGGTTTACAGACATTTCATTGCCCACCTAGGTAACCTCATCAGACCTAGAAGGGAATGGGGTTAACCCTGAGGATATTACCTAGCTGGGTAATGAAATGTCTGCAGGAAAACAACCAAACTTAGAGAGCGGAAAACACCCCCACAGTTCAACCCTGAGCTAACAAATTTTCTGTTCTGTTGGTGTCATTGTTATCCCAAGAATGCTTTTATTTCTCGCAACACATCTCTCTTGATGTGAACCATCCTAGAATATGTATCACATTAATTCGTGTCCATTCACCCATTAAAGACCAAGAATGAGGTTGTTATGAGGTGGACAAGGATAAAAATCAGTGCCAAATGTACTGACCCGTACTGTTTTCCTAGAAGGGCATCAGACGCTTGTCTGTTTTGGAGACTACCCTGAGCCCTTAATGAGTATACCTCCCCTGATTTAACAGATGTCTGCAAACAAATGTTTCAGCTTCAGGCTGATGCGAGGTAGCTGGAAGCAAACATAGATCACCTGGGAACCTGGATTATCCTTTCTGTGCAAACCGAAAGAGCGATCAGAGGAAATGACAGAGGAGGAGGGTTTTTTTATTCCTGCATCAATTGGTAAAAAGATAAATGTGCTTTTCCCCCAGTTCAAAATGGGTCAGGGCTGCCTCGAGGACATGCCAAAAAAGAACAATGAGGAAGAAAAGTTTTTAAGTCTCCTGCTATTTCTTCCTTAAGAGCTATATACAAAGCAGCCATTTTGTCAGAGAAGTGTCATGGACAGAGGTGGTATTTACCCGGTTCGGACCAGTTCTGGTGTACCAGTAGCGGAAATTTTGACCAGTTCTGAGAACCGGCAATACCACCTCTGACTGGCCCCACCCACCCACCACCCGCCATTTCCTCTCCTATATTTCCTTGTTTTTTAGCTCCGCTGATTCACGCAGCAGAGTAGATTTCCACGCCTCAGCTGAGCTAAAAAAATGGCTCAGGCAGCTCACCGGTGTTGACAAAGTCGGTATTTGATCCCTGCGTGCCTTCGCAAAGCACTTGTCAGGTTTCCCAGTGATGAATTCCATTTAAAAAGAAAAGAGCAAAGTCCATCTTCCAAAACCATTTCTTTTATTTAGGAAAGCATCAAATTGGCAAAATCCGCTGTAATTCCAGATCTGACACAACCCGGAATTTACACCACATAATATTGGAAATTCGACACAACCCCCCAAAAGTCACATCCCCAAATAGAAGTAAATCAACGTTTGCCTGGTGTCATCATCCTCCACTTCCAGGTCTCGGCAGGGTTAGTTTTCATTCCCACGGGAAGGAGAACCACCTAGCCTAAACAACTCTCACTATCTCCATTCCTCCCACCTTAAGAATATGGCAAGCCCGAAACCCTTCCCCCCGGTAACTAGCAAAGGAAAAGAAAGAAAAGGAATATATAATAAGGCTAAATAAAATGGCTACGCGTATATCAATTTTGGGCTTGACAAGTGCATAGAACCAGTAGGAAAAAATTTGGAAACCCACCACTGGTCATGGCCAACTGTATTATTAAACAATTCCTTGAAGTGGAAGATGATAGATGGTATGTAGAAGACTTTGGAAAGGTTTCTGTCAGCCATTTTCTTCTATTTCAGAGAATTCCACCCCACTCTGCCCCAGGTAAGCCTCTTTCCTTCAGAGGAGTACAGATAGGCCTTTGACTGGCAACTATTTATTTAGTGACCATTCAGTTTCAACAGCGCTGAAAACATGAGATTTATGGCCGTTTTTCACACTGCTGCATCATCTCCACAATCACATGATCAAAATTCATACGCTTGGCAACTGATTCATATTTATGACGGTTGCAGTATTCTGGAGTCATGTGGTCCCCTTTTGAGACCTTATGACAAGCAACAGGCAAGCCAGATTTGTTAACAACTATGTTATTAACACAGCTGCAGTGATTTACTTAGCAGCTGTGGCAAGAAAAGTCATAAAATGGAGCAAAAACTCACTTAACTACCATCGTGGTTAGCAG